GCTTCTTCATTACATGTATTCTGATTGGTGTAGGGTACTTGACCGTCATTTGACAAGCGAATAAAGATGCGGGTAACATATTACGCATTTAGTCCCTTTTATTACCAAGCAAGATTTTGTTGTGCAAGAATCAGCGAAGCCGGCGATGTTCGGCAATGTATGCCATGATATGATATGATATTTGTTCGGCAATGTATGCCATGATATGATATGATATTTGTATCGCTTCCAAATTTATAAGAAATTCACTTCAGTTTCCTAATTTTATAAAATAATCACATCGATATTCACTTTCTATAACTCAAACAGGTCACTTTTACAATTTTTATAAGATTTTCACTTCGTTTTTTTACAGTTTTTAAAAAGCATCACTTCGATTTTTACACCTTTTAAAACATGTACTTCGCCGCGGCACTTCGTTTTTTACCCATGTGGTAAAAAATCCACTACCACTACCATTATCCATTATCCACTACCCCGTAAGATGTACGGTGTCCAAGAGATACCAACCAGCACTGTCACAGCAAGTGATCTACAATGATCAAATTATCGCCTGAAGAACAGGACAATTTTTTTTTTGCTATCGTTACCTCGGGGAGGGGGAGCAAGCACATGTTCGCGAATTTTCTCAAAATTTTCTGGCTTAACTTCAGCACTTGGAATTCAAGAAACAGAAATAAAATACCACAGGATCCCTATAGCACAAGAAAACACCTCCCGGACGAGCCCCCATATGTCACAGAACGCTATAACAAAACCAGTACAACAGACCACTCACCATCAGTCCTCGCTAGCTACTCCGCCATCTTAGCCCCACCTGTGTGTTTTCATCCTGCCACAGAGGGCGCACCTCGTAAAACCACTTATGCAAATTAATGTAAAAATAAATAATAAGAATTCATGACACTATAGCTGTTTACAGTGTTCTAATCATTACGATTTACTGATTTTTTTGCTTCCATTCTAGAAAATTATGCTCAGTGTTTGATGTAAAATTGAAGCGATGACTGAATTAACGAACCTTGGCTGGATCAGGAAGTGTACACATTTGTTGGAAGTGAAAAAAATATTCAATGTAATGACAAAAATTGTAAAATGCTATGGAATTTCTTTTGTAAATAAAAATACTAGTATACTAGCAATTTTCTATTAATGGTTTATTCAAGTGGGCAAAATATAATGTACAAAAAGATTGCCCGTAGAGTATCGCTACAATGAAAAGTAAGCAACCGACAGCCTGTATAAAAGGGGGGTTGTGATTGGCTGTTACTTACGCGAGATTTGAACGGGACTTACATAGGCGTCGGATCAGATGTATGTAGGGAGGAATTAAAAAAAATTACGAAATCAAAATCAAAGTAAAATAATAAAATAAAAAGGCACTAATAACAAAAGTAATAAAAATAAGTTTATAGCCAAAATATTTAAAGCCCCTACACTACATCAGATTTTAATCACATTGTGCTTACATAATATACTATAATAAATAATATTACATTTTGCTCATCTCCATTGCTCTAACAGTCCGCTAACTTTCGATAGAGGACATTTGCTGTACAGCATTTACTAGGAAAGTACTCGATATTAGTTCCAAACAGTTTCCGTTTACAAGTTTTTGTTTGTTTTCTCAACAATGCCTGTTTACCAAGAAAATTCTGTTTGTCTAACTCAGGTGGAGAGTACGGATATATAATACAAAGTAAATAAAACAAATGCCAAAGTAATTTTTATTCAAAAAAAACAACATAAACAGCACCTTGAATGTCCATCCTTCTACCCTAAGTGCCGCGAAATCAACATAATATTGGAATACTATGGCAATACACCGCTCAAGATTTAATTAACATGCATTGACTATAAGTTTCCTTATTCGGAAAATTAGATATGAACATTGCAAATACATATTTGAATGCCTTAAAATTAGATTCACACGCAGTTCAGTAAATATTCATTGTAATATGTGCAAACAACGAACTTTGAACCAGACATTGATATGGAAACCGGCGTCAAAATGGAAGATAGTGTTCAATTGAAATGTTCGGAAGTGTTCACATGAAATGACCGTGATCGTTGACAATTTTTAATGGACTGTTGTACGTGGCACTAAGACACTGGTATCCATATCTCGTTGTATCTATCTTCAACGTGCAGAGGCTCATTGTACGTAGCGGCGAAGAAATAATTCTGAAAACAATAAAAAACGCAGAGAAAGTCACTTCGCAGTTCCACGGTTTATTAAATAGGACGCCACGCAGCCATCACCCATACAGATGGATAGATATTCTGTGATTTCGAGCTGTTTTGTAGGGCATTTGGTGTGGCGTGAGGGTGTACATTCTTTTCCGTTGGTGAGGCGCTTGTATGATCGCGAGTCTGAATCACGTGCTAAGTGCTGTAATTTATGTATTCTTGTACGACGTTGGACTTAAAATGATTATTTTCGGTTATATATACTTGTAAACTATATCCTTTTTGCTTTGAAATGACGTTTTTTGTTTCAATTTGTTCCCCCTTTTCATCACAAATTAACAAAATATAGTCTGCACTTCAGACGATTGGGACAAAATAGCCAAATTTTTTGAGTAGAAACTAAGTGACCTAATTTTGTCTCTGTTTGCCATAAAAATTAGGGTTCATTTCCAGAAATATTGAAGAATTTTATAAAAACAAATGCAGAAAAATTTGGGGCGAGATGTCTGGTAGTGAAAAGGTTCAATTCCGTGTATATACGCAATTTATTTTACATGGGTTATATTCGTGGCATGGAACCCATATCGAACATGAAGCTACAACCTTAGATCTTCTGTTTAGACATGTCTTGGTGTTCGGTATAGACATGTTTCATTGAGTTTGGTTTAAACAGGTCTTACTAAGTTCGGTTTAGACAGGTCTTACTGAGTTTGGTTTAGACAGATTTCACTGAGTTCGGCTTAGACAGATTTCACTGAGTTCGGCTTAGACAGGTTTCACTGAGTTCGGCTTAGACAGATCTCACTGAGTTCGGCTTAGACAGATCTCACTGAGTTCGGCTTAGACAGATTTCACTGAGTTCGGCTTAGACAGGTTTCACTGAGTTCGGCTTAGACAGGTCTGAGTTCGGCTTAGACAGATTTCACTGAATTCAGCTTAGACAGGTTTAACTATATTTTTGACAGGTTTTGATGTATTTAATCAAAGTTCGCCATATATAACATCGTGACACCATATGTGGGACATATACAAGATTGACAACACTTACCTCGTATTGTAATTCTTCATCGTCTAATTTATTGCGTAAGCCGCGGACATGACGCTTAATAACGTCATCCGACACGTAACCACCAAAGGCCGTTACGTAGAACGTCGTATGTGGCATGTATCGTATGAATATCTGCCACAGAAAGAATCATACATAGTGGGTTAAATTAGGGAGAAACATACCTAATGTATTTGAACCTTTAAATACACCTGATCCTAATTGTTGACTATGACAAAATGATACATACAATATACAAAATATGAACAAATTGTAGGAAGCTTTGCCAGTTTTCAGAAATACCGAAACGTAATTTCTGCGTATATGGCCACACATTTGTCCTGCTCTCAAAAACAACCCGTCCTCTATCTGTCATGAAACGCCGTCCATGACTGTTTATACTAACAAGCTAAATGAATTTGTTTCAATGGCAACCGAATTCAGATCTAAAATCCAAGTATTTTGATCTGTTCTCCCTAAACTTTAAATGAAAATTCAACCATAAAAAGTGTTATTTAGTTGACAGACAGAGAAACAAACAAAAAATAAAATAACGGTGCCACTTACACTCATTCAAGTTTCTTACTGAAACTGTTAATTTGTCAAAGATTGTTATCTGTGATTTGGTATTTAGAATGTCGTCATACCTTAGGATGATCTGCAGTGGTCATTGAACTCTGCAACTCACGTGGAGCATATACACACCTCGTATAGTCCTTATTGCAACCGACATAGTCCAAGTCATCCATGTTCATCTGGGAAACAACAAATTAAAGACCCAATGTTAATAACTAAAATATTTTTGAGCAAACATGGGTAATATAGTTTGATGAAGCATCTAAAAAAATACGAGTCACGGTAATAGCAAATAAACATGTTATTTGGCATCAGATATAGCAGTATTCGTTCGATGAAACAATGAAAACACAAATGCGCATGCGCCTTATAACGTATTCGAGGCGCACTCGCACTCGCGTGTACATATATTTTATCCGTCGAACTGATACTTCTATGTTAAATGTAAAAATATATATTTTTATTTTACAATAAATAATACTTTAATTTCTTTTATTCAATATCAAACGTTTTAATTATGTGAATAATTTGTCAATTGTATTTTGTAATATTTTAAGACTATATAGATGTTAATAAACTTGAATCTCTCCCAGTGATATTAGGGTAACACGCGTTGTACCTGTATGAGTGTGGGCACGCTTGTATTGACACGGACATCAACAAGTTCACCGTAATGGGCCAGCCAGTAACGAGACATCTGATTGGCGCTTAAATAGTCACATGATGTAGATTTCGTGCATATTAATTTCACACCTGTGTAGAAACAATGACAGAAACATGAATTACGTGGGAAGTCATGTTCAGTATATTTGGTTTATAGAGGCACGTTTCATGAAAGTACAATGTTTACAATATTTTTAAATTGTCTATTTTTACAAAATGACAAAAAATAGAGTGAGAAACTACATAAAACAACAGCGCCCTCACCTTCTTCATAAGTTCTCTTTTCGTAATGAAGAGTGATTTCGTCAACAGCGCCTTCAATACATTGAATACTGGTATCGGAGCATTCAGGCTGTTTCATCTCAAATTCCTCATTGTACGGGGGGTCTGCAAACAATTTCTTTTTCTTCAATTTGTCCAACTTTCAAAATGAAAAACAATTACATTAATGCTAAAGAAGAATTAGTTCCTGGTTGTAAGATGATAAAAACATAGTGTGGTAAAGCATCCTTTTTTTCTTGTTCAAAAAAATCATAAATCAAACTTAAAATCCAATCAGGAGCACTTAAAGAAAACAAGCAGCCTGTCGGCTGAGATAGCTCCGCTGTTAGCAATGCACATGGCAATTAA